GAAAGAGCTACAAATTCAGACATTTATTTCTGCCCTGTAGTGTATCTGGATGCCGCCTCAGAGCTGTATAGCAAGCACACCCTCATGGAGCGCTCCTCTCAGGCAGGTTTTAATGCCTCACTCTTAAACATGACTAGGCAAGCCAGGGCCACCATACATTTCAGGGAAGCTACCCAGCCAAAAAGGAGAGAAATACAAACAGGAAAAACAAAAGAACTGAAACCAAGATATTACAGAGAACATAAGAAAAAATATTTTTAAAGAGAAGATATTGCAGCAATAAGACAAGATCAGAATACTATTTTAAAAACAAGGTGAAAATGTTTTAACCTCAGAGATTAAAAATAATACAAAGTTTTTTAAAAGCAATAGAAGTATTAGAAGACAAAGTTGAAATGTTCTTCTGGATAACAAACGAAAAAAATATATGAGAGAAAAGTTTAGAGGATTAGAGGATCAATACTGGAGAATAGTAGAGTTCCAGAAAGAAAGAATCAATGAAAATGAGGGGAAAAAAAGAAAAGAAATTACCAAAGAATTTCTCTAAACTGAAAAAAGTAAATATTCAGATCGAAAGGCTCATTGAGTCCTAAGCCAGCAGAAGTGATACATCTGCTCAGCAAAGGCCTTGTGCAAAAATGTTGGTGACAACAATATCTGTAATAGCCCCAAAATGCAAACAATCAAAAGTCTGCCGGCACTAGAGCTGGGTAAAGTAATTGTGATGTGTTAATATAGTGGAAGAAAAATTAATGAATTACCCGTATATGCACTGGCACAGATGAATCTCACAAACTTAATAGTGAGCAAAAGAGACCAGTAGCAAAAAAGCACATAGTATATGATGTCATTTCTATAAAAATTAAAAAACAGGCAAACTGATCTATGGTGTTGGCAGTTAGGATAGCGGTTACCATAGAGGCAGGTAGAGGCTGGAAGCAGCTTTATTCTGTTTCTTAATCTAGGAATGACCCAGTATGTTCATGTTGTAAAGTTCAGCAAATGATATTTATGATTTACACTCCCTTCTATGAAAATACTATATAGTATAGATTCTATACTAATAAAAGCCTAGGTGGCCCTCACACCCTCACGAGATGCCCTCACATCATCACAAGATGGCTTCCCCCCACGTCGTCACAAGATGGCCGCCCCACATGTCATCACAAGATGCCCACCCCAACAGGGGAGGGCAGTTGTGGGCGATCAGGCCAGCAGGGGAGGGCAGTTGGGAGCAACCAGGTCTGCAAGGGAGGGCAGTTGAGGGCCATCGGGCCAGCAGGGGAGGGCAGTTGGGGGCCATCGGGCTGGCAAGGGAGGGCAGTTGGGGGTGATTAGGCCCACAGGGATCGGGTCTAAACTGGCAGTTGGACATCACCCGAGGGGCCCCAGATTGGAGAGGGTGCAGGCTGGGCTGAGGGAACACTCCCAGCCCCCATGCACAAATTTTGTGCACCGGGCCTCTATTCTTCTATAAAAAGCTTACATTTCGCCCTAGCTGGTTTGGCTCGGTGGATAGAGCATCAACCTTCAGACTGAAAGGTATCAGGTTTGATTCCAGTCAGGGGCATCTATCTGGGTTGCAGGCTCGATCCCCAGCCCTGATTGGGTTGGGAGGAACTGATCAATGTGTCTCTCTCACATTGATGTTTCTCTCTGTCCCTGTCTCTCCCCCTTCCTTCCACTCTCTCTAAAAGTCAATGGAAAAATATCCTCAAGTGAGGATTAACAACAACAAAAAAGCTTACATTTCTAAAACTTACCCAAATATTTTACAGTGAAATTTAGAACCAGAGATCAAGAGGAGATCCTAAAAGCTTTGAGTGTGGCTGATGGGGGTGGAGGGGTGGGAGGGTGAGGAGATAAAATGATCTAGCTAGAAAATAACAAGACTTCTTAAAAGTACTGTTGGAACCTGCAACACAATGGAGAAATGCCCATAACATTCTGAGGAAAAATTATTTCCAACCTCCAGTGAGGAGGTAAAATAATGACATTTCATAAAACAGTCTGCAAAGAAATATACCGCCCATGCACCCTTTCACAGGAGGTTTCTAAAAGATGAACTTCTCAAACAGAAGAATAGAAAAGACAGAGGAACCGACCCAAGACAACACCCTCTAGGTCCATTCATGTTGTCCCAACTGGTAAGCTTTCATCCTATTTATAGCTGAGTAATACTCCATTGTATATACAGGGTGTCCCAAAAATATATACACACTTTGAATAATTATAAAGGCAGTGCTTATTAAAATACATTTAGAAAAAGGAAAAGAAAAGACCAGAGGACCCAGGAAGCAGAAAAGAAGGAAGACAATCTCTAAAATGATAGTAAAAAGAAAACCATGGCTGTGCAGCAGGCCAGGGATGAACCTGTGCAGCCTGGACAGAGATCCAAAAGGAATACCGCTGAGAAGTAGCCTGAGGGGTGAGAGGAGGTTTAAGGTGCTCTTGGAGAGTAGGGTGATAAATGGTGATGGGTGCATAGAAATCTAAGCCAATGAAAAGAAAAAAGGTAGCTACTAACTGCAGCAACACAAAGATGTACAGGAAAGGAAAGGTCATGTGAACAGAATGTACATAGTCATTCGATAATATAAGTACTGACCCAATTCTTTTAAATCTTCATGTTAGGAAGTTAGGGAAATAAAAGTGTATTGTATTGTAAGGAAAAAGTTGGGGGCTGGGGAGGGGGGAGTTGGATCCTAGAATCTTGATAGGAAGGCAATACTACAACAGTGACTCCTGCCAAACAAATGTTGCGCTCTGTTTTCAATTTTCACCTTTTGTCATAAAAGCAAAAATCCTCTTTGGATTTCTTTCAGTTAATGAAAACAGGTACTAAGGTTGGTCTTTCATAAAAGTGAAGTGATGTAAAACTTTCAAAAAGCAAGTTGGGGGGTGGGGTGGGTAAGAGATCAACCGAAGGACTTGTATGCATGCATATAAGCATAACCAATGGACACAAGACACTGGCGGGTAGGGGAGGCGGGGGGAAGGTCAAGGGGGAAAAAACATATATAATACTCTTTGTAATACTTTAAGCAATAAAACAAAATAAAAATTTAAAAAAGCGAGTTAACCTGTGTAAGTCCCCTTTAATCAAGTTATCTTCCACTTCTAGGAATATATCTCTGTAAGTACTCATATGCAAAGATTCATATGCAGGGACAGTTGATTGAAGTCTTAGTTATAGTTATTGATTTTAAAAAATTATATATCAATAGTATGGAATACAATGCAGCTGTTAAAAAGAATGAGCCAGGCCTGTGTGGCTCAGTGATTGAGTGTCCACCTACCAACCAGGAGGTCATGGTTCAATTTCCGGTCAGGGCACATGCCTGGGTTGCAGGCTCGATCCCCAGTGGAGGGTATGCAGGAGGCAGCCAATCAATGATCTTCTCACATCATTGATGTTTCTATCTCTTTCTGCCTCTCCGTCTCTCTTCCTCTCTGAAATCAATAAAAAAAAATTTTTTTAAAAAATGAGATAGACCTAGATCTACTAATATAGAAAGGTATTTGAATACTATTATTGGGGTTGGAGGGGGGCAGTGGAACAAGTTGTAAAGCCATAATTCCATATTTTAAAATATATTGTATTTTGGATATGAACAAAGAAATGCTATAATAGCATAAATATGGCTCTAGTAAGTGGGCTTTAAATTTCTGTTTGTAAATTTTTCTATTTTTGCAATGGGCATGTGTGAATTTTATATTCAGAAAAAATGTAGCTATACACACACACACACACATACACACATGCATGTGTGTGTATCACCCAGCATAGTAATTGTGGACACATAAGTAGACCCTCTTGGTAGTTAGTGGTTGTTATGAGAATCACTTTCTGTGTAAGTTTTCTGCTTCAAATCGAATATTCCTTTAGCAGTAGAACAACCTTTGTGCTTAGGGTTTCTGTGTGAAAATACAGCTTTTTCTTTCCTGGTAGACTCTTTATAGTTGAAACCTGCTCTCCTTTTCCCTTTTCATCAGCTTTAATAAATGGGCTCAGGGAACCCCTCACAGGATATGCCATCATTCATTTTAATTTTTAAAATTATAATAGCAATTTAAGCTTATCTTAAATATTCAAGCAATACTGAAGTTTGTAAGGTAAAAACTTAAAAGTCATCATTCTAACCCTTTCCCTCAAGTCCTACTCCCCAAAGTTGGAAATGGTTCAGTGTATGGTCTTCAAAACTTCTGTACATATGCAAATGTGCATGTGTATTTTTGCTAGAAAATAAGATCATATCATACATACCAATCAATATCTTTTCATGCCATAAGTTTAGATATACTACACCTTTTTAAAGAAAGGCATGATAGTTCTGGCGAGTGTGGCTCAGTTGGTTGAGTGTCATCCAATGCACCAAAAGGTCACCGGTTCCAGTCCCCGTCAGAGCACATGCCCAGGTTGTGGGCTCAATCCCCAGTAGGGGGTGTGCAGGAGGAGCTGAGCCATGTTTCACTCTTACATTGTTGTTTACTCTCCCTCCCCCTTTCTCTCTCTCTAAATAAATAAAAACATTAAAAGAAACGCATAATATTCCCCTATCAACATAATTTTTGGTATTGCTATCAGTGCCGCAAAAATATTTTTACATATATTTTGTCCCCTTTCAGTAAGGAGAGCTGTAGGATAAATTCCTACAAGTAGAATTAGAGTTGGTCAAAAATATCTACATGGATAATAATTATCCTGCTGGACTACTTTACTTTCCTACCAGCAGTATTTGTATGAACTTCTTTCCCACATACACCTTCACCTATATTGTAATTACTAGTATCTTAAAATGTTTGTCAATCTGATGTGTAAAAAGTGGATCTCATTGTTTTATCTGAATTTCTTTTGTTGACTAGTGATGAGCACTTCTTTGTTGCCACAACCTATTTGGAAATGTAATGTAGATCCAACAGGAAGGCTGGCCTAGAATTTTAATCTTGGTTATGTGGTGGGAGAGATGTATGAATGTGCTTGGAAATGGGATCCAGGAGAGAGCATGGAAGAAGAGGAGACAGAAAAGATGGTGTGATGTAGTACATTTATGGTTTCATTTTTGGCCATCATGGCAGGGGTGGAGGACAGGTCGGATGGTGGCACATTACCATGCATAGAAACCAGTCCACATCTGGCTGCTGATGCAGCATCCTTGAATTCCTCACCTCGCTGAAAATGAGCCATCTCTTCCAGTTCAGCTTGTTTTGAAACCATGGAAATCTTGTCCATTATTCTCTGTGTACTTCTTCCCACAGAGATCTGGCATGATATTGATTCAGCATCTGGAGGAGCTAATACCAGTTTATCAAGTCTGTATCCATCACCTAACGGTGCCTCCTCTACCTAAAGGATTTCATGAAACCCCATTTCAAAATCACTGCTTGAAATGGTCATGTTTCAAACCTCTGTAAAGAAACTGTAACTGTGGAAAAATGTAGGTAGGGCCTTCGGTGCAGAAAGAGTATTCAGATATCTTTGCAACCATTAATAGCTCAGTCACATTTTACCTCCTTAATTGTCAAGGATGCATAGGGCATCTATCTCCCAACATATGTGAACTATTGTCCCAATACACATTACTTCCTTCTTTTAGACCCAGCAAGCCTCCCTGAGCAGGGACTGTCACCTGGGGGAGAGGGGACAGGTAGACTGGCCTCCAGGGCACCTTGTAACAGGGACCATATGAGGAACTTACAGACACCACCGGCTTGTTCTCCATTTAGGATGTCTTCACTGTCGTTTCCATCTCATGACCCAGAGACACCTGCTTATGAAAGAATAGGAGTCCTGATCATTCAGGGCCTCTCAAAACAAGTCAATCTCACCAAATGTCCATGGAGGATGTTTACCCTGATTCTGTTGCAGTTTCTCAGGTAGGTCCAGTGCTTCTCTCTTTTTTAAATTCCTATCAGCTTTTTCCCTATGGAGTTCATGTCTTGAGAGTTTGTCTTCCAAACACACTGCATTCACAACTAGTTCATTGTTTCTCTCCTTTTATACTCAAGCACAGTGGTTCTCAACCTTCCTACTGCCGCGACCCTTTAATACAGTTCCTCATGTTGTGGTGACCCCCAACCATAAAATTATTTTCGTTGCTACTTCATAACTGTAATTTTGCTACTGTTATGAATCATAATGTAAATATCTGATATGCAGGATGTATTTTCATCGTTATAAATTGAACATAATTAAAGCATAGTGATTAATCACAAAAACAATATGTAATTATATATGTGTTTTCCGGTGGTCTTAGGCGACCTCTGTGAAAGGGTTGTTCGACCCCCAAAGGGGTCGCGACCCACAGGTTGAGAACCACTGCTCAAGCAGATATGTACATGCAGGCTTTCTGGTCAACCTGTGGCATGAGTGTTACTTCAGGATGTAATAAGTTAATACTTTGTGAGTAAATGTAACCTTACCCTCCCCCCACCACAGTGTTTATCTTTATATTCCTAAAAAGGGAAGGACTCTTAGCTGAAAACCCCTTATTTCCTTTATCCCACCCCTCTGACTTTCCAAATTAGTTTATAGTTGGCCATGTAAAAGGTAAGTGGTTCAAGATCATCCACTTCACCCTTTCTCCACACCTGAAAAAGGACAATTTACATTCACATTTTGCTGGTGACAGGAGCCCTGAGTCAAAAGTTTTATGCAGAAAACAGCCTTGGAAACAAGATGCTGGTCACTGGAGCTACAGCACATAGAGTTCCCTGTAGGGATCAGGTTGTTAAGACCAGATGAGGACAAGATGCTGTAAAAGTGTCTGCCTTTTCCAGTTTAATTTTACCAGAGCACATAAATTCAATGACAGGTTTCTTTAAACAGTTGTTCTTAACTTTAAATAATTTTTTTAAATAATTAGCACCTGGTTTGCTTTTTTAAATTTTTGATGTATGAAGTAGAGTGGAAAGATTGGGGGCTATGGATAGTATTCTAAAAAAGAGGAAAGGATACAGTTTTTCATAATTAGACATATTTGACTTTGAACCAAATATTTAGCTATGTGGCCTTGGGAAAGTTGTTTTTAAGTCTTGATTGGCTTTAGGGTGAGTGGGAATATGGCCTTACAGTCTTTTTGTTAACATAAAATAATGAATATGGGCCAGGCTGGGTGATTAGTTGGTTGGAGCATCATCCCATACACCAAAAAGGTTGTAGGGTTTGATTCCCAGTCAGGTCACATACCTAGGTTGTGGGTTCCATTCCCCAGGTTGGGGCACATAAGGGGAGGCAACCAATCAATGTTTCTCACATTGATGTTTCTCTCTCTCTCTCTCTCTCTCTCTCTCTCAAATCAATAAACCTGTTATCACATGAGGATTAAAAAAATCTATTTTAAAAAAAGAAATAATATGAAAAAGGTAGCATACTACCTCCTTTCCTATCTCTTTATATCACAACTAGTGGCCTGGTGCACAAATTTGTGCACATTGAAAGGAAATTAATTAGAAGAAATATTTTAATATCGCTATTCACCCTTTCTCTATAATAGAATTGTCAACAAAATTCATGATCAACAATGAGAGATGGAGCCGAAACCGGTTTGGCTCAGTGGATGGAGCGTCAGCCTGCGGACTGAAGGGTCCCGGGTTCGATTCCGGTCAAGGGCATGTACCTGGGTTGTGGGCACATCCCCAGTAGGAGATGTGCAGGAGGCAGCTGATCGATGTTTCTCTCTCATCGATGTTTCTGACTCTCTATCTCTCTCCCTTCCTCTCTGTAAAAAATCAATAAAATATATTTTAAAAAACAAAAAAAACAATGAGAGATGGAAACACACGCATGTGATTGGCGCCAGCGAAAGCTTTATATGTATCGCGCGTGTGCGAGTCAACTTAGCCTTTTATAGATATAGAATAAACTTGCTTAATTAGACCTGCTTTCTGATGTAGCTAAACTTTTTCCAGCCCAGTGAAGCACCCCAACTTCTCTTTCAGGTAATTGTCAACAACACAGCAATAAATATCAACACGAAGCAGATTGTTACTGTAAATCATGCAGGGAGAACAAAGGGTAAAATATTTAACTGCAGCAGTGTTTGACTATATTCTGCGTAATGAGAAAACCTGAAGTCATTTTCAAGGTCCACCATTTCTTCTTTTCAGTCGGGTCAAGTTTCTAAGCTTTCTACATCTCTGTTTTCTGGTTAATGAAAAGAAAATAGGATTCCACTGAGTCTCCTATCTACCTACTCCAGGATTTCTGTGAGGATCAAGTGAGATAAGGCATGGGAAACCACTTCACCGACATTTGGTTACAGCGTAAAATGTTTCTACCTGGCAATAAAGCAAAATAAAGTGTTCCTGGGCTGAAGAAACTCCAAGGAGGCTAGTTGTTAGGGAGAGAAGCCAGGCATTGCTACATGACGTCATTACCCAGACAGACACTTAGCATATTAGCTTTTTATATATATACTAGAGGCCTGGTGCACAAAATTCGTGCACTCCGGGGGGGGGGGGGCGTCGCTCAGCCCAGATTGCGAGAGGGTGCAGGCCAGGCCGAGGGACCCCACCAGTGCACGATCGGGGCCGGGGAGGGACGCAGGAGGTTAGCCAGCTGGGGAGGGACCACAGAAGGGCTCCAGGGCATGTCCGGCCCTCTTGCCCAGTCCTGATTGGCTGGACCCCAGCAGCAAGCTAACCTACCGGTGGGAGTATCTGCCCCCTGGTGGTCAGTGCATGTCATAGCGAGCAGTTGAGTGGCCTTAGCATATCATTAGCATATTATGATTTGTTTTTTTTGTTTTTTAATATATTTTATTGATTTTTTACAGAGAGGAAGAGAGAGGGTTAGAGAGTTAGAAACATCCATGAGAGAGAAATATCCATCAGCTGCCTCCTGCACACCCCCTACTGGGGGTGTGCCCGCAACCAAGGTACATGTCCTTGACTGGAATCTAACCTGGGACCCTTCAGTCCACAGGCCGATGCTGTAGCCACTGAGCCAAATTGGTCAGGGCAGCATATTATGCTTTGATTGGTTGAATGGCTAACTGGATGACCGGACACTTAGCATATTAGGCTTTTATTATATAGGATAGATGAATCAGGGCCTCTATTCCATCTGTCTTTAAGAGAGTCCTGGATGCTATGAGGAGATGCTGATCCTGAGGAAGTGACAGTCCATGGGGGAGGAGGAAGCACATCCCCTGTCATTGCAGACCAGCAAACTTCTGAGAAAGGTGAGAGGAGGCATTGTGAGAGCTCACACCCAGTTCTCAGGCTTTACTCGCCCAGTTACACTGCCTCTGGGGCCCTTGTCATACCCTAGGGACGGGGAAGCAATTCCTTTCTGAATTAGTTGAAGGCCTTGTTCATCCTCCTGCCTCAGGCCAGTGCCTTTTCTCCCTGAAGTGTCTCTCAGAGCTGAAGCTTCACTCCTGGCCAATAGGAGCCAACAAACCTAATCCTGGGTCCCAGGAACTGCCTCCCTGTTAGGTCCGATCAAATAATTGAATCAACATCTCCTCCCCTGGGAGCTGACCTTTAGGCCACTTCACAGCCCACATTCCCTTTCTCTTAGACCACATTCCACTTGTTAAGACCACATTCCATTTCCAAGACCATTATCCACCCACCCCCATCCCCACCTTCCAGGATCCTGACCTGCCCACAGAATTCTCTGCCCACAGAAAGCCTGCCTAGAGGCTTTCAAATTTCTGACTCCCTGTCTCTGGGTCCTGGCACCATTTAGGGGCTCAGCCCATCTGGTTTTCCAGATGACCTAATAAATGAATAATTCTTTACTACTTTTGGCCTCTTGAGTTCCTCCTTTGGCGATCCTAACACTCCCCAGTCAGGGTCCTGTTCCCAGTGTTCTCCCCTGCCTCCCTGGAGAGAGAGAAGGCTCATCATCTGATCCACAGCCTCTGGGAACCCTGCTCTGATGGGGCTCCTTGAGTCATCAACATCTAACTACCTAGGCTACTTGTGAAGAATACAAGCTATTGGCTCCTTTTATCACCGACCTGGCCAAGAAGCCTGCCAGGCTGTGGGATACAAAGAAAAAGCGTCCCAGGGTTCAATTCTGGTCAAGCGCACCTGCCCAGGTTGTGGGCTCAATCCCCAGTAGGGGGCGTGCAGGAAGCAGCTAATCAGTGATTCTCATCATTGATGTTTTTCTCTCTCTCCCTTCCTCTCTGAAATCAATGAAAATATATTTTTTAAAAATATATTGGACTATTAAAATAAAGAAAAGAAATGAGTGGCTCATGGGGGCAAAGATTTCATGCTGATTGTGCTCTGAGCAGCTAAGACAAAACAATGCCAGGTATTGCTAAATTATTAGAAAATAATTGTGGAAAATAGCAAGAAAATAAAGATATCTTTGACTTAACCCTCCCACAGGAAGACAGTGGTGTAGTGGAGAAGGTATGAGCATTGGTGTCAGGTGAACCAGGCCCCTTTCTGGTTGTTTTTGGGGGACACGTGATTTGGCAGTGATGATGGAGGTATGACTGTGATGGTAGTTCTTGCTATTCACATGGATTGAGGTCTTACTATGTGCCAAGCACTACTAGTGCTTTATAGCTGTTATCTCCCAACAGCCCTGTGAAGTAGTTACTATTATTACCTCTATTTTATAGGTGAGGAATCTGAGACACTTAAGTTAAATGATGTAACCTCTCTCTATCTTCATTTCTTATCTGCACAATGGGAATTAAAGAAAATACTGTCTTATCCTGACTAGGGTGGCTCAATTGGCTGGGCATCCTCCCATACACAAAAAGGTGGTAGTTCAATTCCCAGTCAGGGCACATGCCCAGGTTTGGGGCTTGATCCCCAGTAGGGGTAGTACAGAAGGCAGCCAATTGATGATTGACGTTTCTCTTTCTCTCCCTTTCCCTTCCTCTTTGTCTAAAATCAATAAAAGCATATTTTTTAAAAAATACTACCTCAGAGTTGAAGAAATAATGACCAATTCACATCAAGTTTGTGGTATACAATAGGTATTCAATAATGAAATTTTCTCCTGTGAGAATGGGTCCCAATGAAATCATAAAAAGGAGCAAATGATCTTATCATGGAGATGTAACCTGGAAGCCACCTTTGTGTCCAGCAATAGGAAAAGGCTTAGCAGATTAGGACAGAATATTATACAGCCACTAAAATATCTATGAAAACCATAAAAGTAGAAAGTTTTTAGAATATTATGTTACACTAGAAGGCTGGTGCATGAAACTCATGCACTCGGGGGGTATCCCTCAGCCTGGCCTGCACCTTCTCACAGTCTGGGAGCTCCCCGTGGGAGTGGGCCTAAGCCGGCAGTCGGACATCCTTAGTGTTACCGCGGAAGCAGGAGAGGCTCCCACCACCACTGCTGCGCTCGCCAGCTGTGAACCCGGCTTCTGACTGAGCAGTGCTCCCCCTGTGGGAGTGCACTGACCACCAGGGGGCAGCTCATAGCAAACGGTCGTTCTGCCATCCGCCAAAACCAGCTCTCCAACATCCCCCAAGGGGTCCTGGATTGTGAGAGGGCACAGGCCAGGCCGAGGGACCCCACTGGTGCACAATCAGGGCCAGGGAGGGATACAGGAGGTTGGCCACCCGGTGAGGGACCATGGGAGGGCTCCAGGGCATCTAGTTCAGTCCCGATCAGCCAGACCCCAGCAGCAAGCTAACCTACCGGCCAGAGCATCTGCCCCCTGGTGGTCAGTGTACATCATAGCAAGCAGTTGAGCGGCCTTAGCATATCATTAGCATATTAGGCTTTTATTATATAGGATTAATAAAAAGAAAAAAGAGTATATGTACATTGATTACAATTATATGAATTAACTTGTACACAAGGTTTGAAAGCAAAATATAATTAAAAGTTGTTAGACATAGGTTATTTAATGTGGTTATATACTGCCTTACAGATTTTGAAAAACCAGCAAAAACAAAAGTATTGCCAGGTGCTACAAGTGGCAGCTGCTGTCAATATGGCTAAAATACCAACTAATGTCCCAGATGTGCAAAGGATACCGATCCTTTTAACCACACCAGCACATGCAGAGAGTTGCCTACCAGTAATATTTTCTTGTTCTTCTACTGAGAATGTAACACATCTTTGAGACAGATTTCTGGAAAAAAAAATTGGCTTCAATGGATATACTACATGCCAACCAACCTGTTGCACTCTGTAAGTCCAGTAAAGTTTCTTGGTCCAGTGAGTAGAAGTTGACTTGACTAGTGAAGTAGGAAAGCTTCCTTTAAAGGTCTTTTTCTTTGCTCAGCAGGGAACATGCAGATTTAGTAACATGCAGATTTACTCTGAGTAGGAAAGAGCGGTACTGAAGAACTTGACCTCTAAGGCGATTATTTCATATAATATTGAATTTTTTTGCACATAAAGGAGATAGTGTATGACTAGAAAATGTATTATGAATAGATAATGAAAAATTATTTCATTATCTCAGTTCATGGACATGAAAAGTAATGAATCCTGCTTACTGATCAAGGCTGATGTCCACTATATCTACTAGGATGTAGTCCGACCTAGAATATTCTTCTTCCTCAATGTTATGACTCCAAGAACAGATATGCCAGAAAAGAGACTAACCTGGATTATGCAGCCTTTTACTATGGGCTGTGAAGGCAAAGTTGTAAACTTTGTTGCATGTTGTGAACTTTTTTGCCTCCCTACCTCTCAAGTGACCCCTGGGCCTTTTCCTAAAATCAAATTCATTTTACTGAGCCATTGCGGGCCAGTATAGTTCACCATCTAGTGCTGCCTTGTGAAAGCTGGCCGCAGCATCACATCATCTAAAGTGCAATGCCAAGACTCTGTCCTGCACCAGCCTCCCACCCTCCCCATTTTACCTGCAATCGTCATTCTTTATTTTTAAAGTATATTTTTATGTTTTCAGAGAGGAAGGGAGAGGGACAGAGCGATAGAAACATCAATGATGAGAGGGAATCATTGATTGGCTGACTCCTGCACGCCCCCTACTGGGGATCGAGCCCGCAACCTGGGCATGTGCCCTGACAGGAAATCAAACTGTGACCTCCTGGTTCATAGGTGGACACTCAGCCACTGAGCCACACTGGCTGGGCCATAATCATTATTCTGGATCTCACTCTGTAGCCCGTAGCTATGCTGGTGCAGTGGAGGAGGAGTCCCAGAATCTAGAGGCACTTTAGTTCACATGCTGTCACTAACTGAGCTATCCTGAGCAATTTAGTCGATCTATCTGTGTTGCTTCTTGACTGTGAATAAGGAACATCGACAGATGTTGTCAGGATCAAATGAGAAAATTTAAGTGAAAGCACTTTCTTTTCTTTCTTTTTTCTTTTTGTCTCTCTTTTTTTTTTTACTTTAGAGAGAGGAAGAGAGAGAGAGAAAACCTTGTTGTGAGAGAAAAACATCGATCGGCTGCCCCCTGCATACCCCTTTACTGGGGATCAAGCCTACAACCCGGGCATCATGTGCCCTGACCAAGAATAGAACTGATGACCTTTTGGTGCATGGGACGACACACAACCAACTGAGCTACATCGGCCAGGGCATAAAAGTACTTTCAAAATAAATGTAATGGTCACAATAAGTTTTCAGTTCACACCCACTAGGATAGCCATAATAAAAAAGACATAAAAAATGTTGATAAAGGCATGGAGAAATTGGAACCCTCACATATTGCTGGTAGGATTGTAAAATGATACAGCTGTTTGGAAAACAGACTCTTAGTTCTTCAGTTAAACATAGTTGTCAAATGACCCAGCAGTTCCGCTCCTAGCTATGTGCCCAAGTGAAATGAAACATACATCTACTCAAAAACTTGGACATGAATGTTCACAGCAGCATTATTCATAATAACCAAAAAGTTGAAGCATTCCAAGTGTCCATGGAATGCTTAAGTGCTTAAATGGATAAATAAAGTGTGGTATATCCATACATTTGTTTTTTAAAAAACATGACGACGTCTTTATTTTATTTATTTTTTGTTAATCCTCACTCAAGGATATTTTTCTTACTGATTTTTAGAGAGAGTGAAAGGGAGGGGGGAGAGAGAGAGAAACATAAATGTGAGAGATATATCCATTGGTTACCTCCTGATTGGGGCCTGGAATCAAACCTGCAACCCAGGTAGTTGCCTTTGATCTGGTATCAAACCCATGACCCTTCAGTGTGCGGGCCGATACTCTAACCACTTAGAAACATTCACCAGGGCGATACAATTGATTAATTGATTATTATTATTCAACAATGAAAGTGTATGAAGAAATGTTACATACTGCAGTGTGAATAAAAACATTGTGGTAAATGAAAGGAAGCCAGTCATAAAAAGTCACATATTATGATCTCATTTATATGAAATATCCAGAATAAGCAAATCTGTAAAGATGATAAGTAGATGAATTGTTGGAAGGGCTAGAAGATGGGGGAGGAGGGGGGGAGGTGGACTAATGGATGCTAATGGATCCAGGCTTTATTTTGGGAGTTATGAAGTTCTAAAATTGATTTATTGGAATTCTCTGTGAATATACTAAAAACCATAGAATTTTATACCATAAATTGTATGGTGTGTGAATTTTATCTCAATAAAGCTGTATAGAAAGCAAATAGGTGCAATGCAAAGGCCATTGGTTTTCTGCAAATGACCAAACAGAGCTGAACTCCAGCAAGGATCCATTCAGGGCTTGGTTGACTTACTTCCAACATCTGAGATCAAGATACATCTTCTAATTGAGAACATCCCATAATCTGCCCACCAGGCCACACTTGTCATTGCCTGCATGTTCATGAACATCAAAAGCACCAGTGACTAGAACTGGAAAATGGTTGTCAATTGCTTCAATAAAGTCCCAGAAGGAAGAGTGAAGCACTCTTTTAACCCCTAGGAACCAAATGTTTATTGGAAAGGGAGTCAAGAAAATGGTAAGTCCTCACATACTGGGCAGTAGTCTCAAAGGAAAAATAAAAAATAGACTCCAAAGAGCTGAGCCCCAGGAGCCTTTGGTACTTGTGGATTCTCTTAAGAGAGGCTATATCATCAGTGCCCTTGATGGGACAAGAGATGGCACTGAGTGAATAAGTAGTGACATGGACTCTGAGTCAAACAATGGATTTAGAAGTCTAGGGCTCTGTGAGTACAACTGAGGAATATTTTAAATCAATGTATTTTGCCTATATTTCACTTTTTATGCATGCAGAAGAGTAGTAAATGTCTTTTAAAATCTAAGTGTAAAAGAGTGGCCTTTAAAAGTATAAATTAAACATTGTAAGTGATAAAACATCATCTCATAGTTTAATTGACAGCATTTTTTCTCAATGCATCTTAGAATTAGAGTCTTATATTTGACCAGAGGCCTGGTGTATGAAATTCATGCACTTGGGAGGGGGTTCCCTCAGCCCGGCCTGCGCCCTCTCATAATCCGGGAACCCCATGGGGAGCAGGCCTAAGCCATCAGACAGACATCCTTAGTGCTGCTGCAGAGGCGGGAGAGGCTCCTGCCACCACTGCTGCGCTCGCCAACCCTGAGCGTGGCTTCTGGCTGAGCAGCACTCCCCCTGTGGGAGCGCACTGACCATGAGGGGGCAGCTTCTGCATTGAGCGTCTGCCCCCTGGTGGTCAGTGCACATCAGAGCGAGTGTTTGAGCGACCTAAGCATATCATTAGCATATTATGCTTTTATTGGTTGAATGGATGACCGGACACTTAGCATATTAGTCTTTTATTATATAGAACTAGGAGCCCAGTGCACGAATTAGTGCACCTTGAAAGGAACTGTGGGCCGTGAGGCTGCGGTGGGCACAGGGGTGGGTCTCAGCCCATCCTTTGTGCCCCCGCCTGGCCCCACCAGCTGTGGCCCCTGGTCACCTCTCTGCTGGTGGCCCCGCTCCCACCACTGCCACCAATCCCACTGATGGCACCAGCCCCACTCACACCCGCTGACGGCGCAGAGCAATTGGAGCCTGCGCCAGCAGCAGGTGTGAGCGGGGCCGGCACTGTCAGTGGGTGTGAGCAGTGGCTGCTGCCCCGATTGCCCCTCAGGGGCTGGTGGAGAAGCCCTGAGGGGAGATTGGGGCCAGCAGCCACCGCTTGCACCCACTGACAGTACTGAGCAATCAGGTCCGGTGCCGGGTGCCGGCAACATGTGCGAGCAGGGCTGTCACCAGCAGTGGGTGCGAGCGGAGGCTGCCAACCCAGATTGCCCTTCAGGGGCAGGGGGAAGTGGAGAAGCCCTGAGGGGTGATTGGGGCCAGCAGCAGCCGCTCACACCCGCTGACGGCATCAAGCGATCAGGACCGGCACCGGGCACCAGCAGTGGCTGCGAGCGGTGCCTCCAGCACTGGCTGCGGGTGCGAGCGGGGCCAGCACCGGCAGCAGGTGCAAGCGCCAGGTGGGACCGTGGCACATGGGAGCAAAGAATTTTCAGTAACCACCAGAGGCTTTCCCCGATGACAGCAACCAGTGCCCCACCTTGGTCTGGTGCCCCCGCTCACCTGCTCCACCATTCTGCTGTGGCCAATGCCTGCCATGTTCCGCGCACGTCCCTTGGTGGTCAGCACACGTCATAGTGTCCGGTTGTTCAGTTGTTCGGTTGTTCCAGTTGTTCTGCCGTTTGGTCTATTTCCATATTAGCCTTTTATTATATAGGATAGTATTTGGTACTTATTAAAGGTAGTCCATGAGTGTGGCATCTAAGTTAATGTGACATCTCTAGCTGTTTCATTGACAAATACTATAGTATAATTCTTGCCTCTCAAGCATTGAAATGAATTTACATTTGTTTTAGGATTTGCATGGAATTTCTGTTAGCCATCAGAGTTGTGTGCGATTTGTTGACTTTTACTCTGTTCCTAGCACTGTGCTAAGTGCTCCTTGTGCATTTTCTCATTGGCACCTAACAATGTAGAAGTTACTATTTATTATTTTACAGAAAACGGAACTGAGTTGAGACATTAAAGAACTCTCCAGCATTCTTTTTTTAAAAAAATATATTTTATTGAGTTTTTACAGAGAAGAAGGGAGAGGGATAGAGAGCCAGAAATATCAAGGAGAGAGAAATATCGATCAGCTGCCTCCTGCACAACCCCCACTGGGGATGTGCCCACAACCAAGGTACATGCCCTTGACTGGAATTGAACCTGGGACCCTTCAGTCTGTAGGCTGATGCTTTATCCACTGAGCCAAAACTGGTCAGGGCTCTCCAGTATTCTTTAGCAACTAAAAGACAGCCAGGACTAGAACCCATCTGATTCCAGAAGTTCCTGCTCTTGACTGCTCTGCTAGAACCCCTTTATGGCCGATTGTAAATTGGGTCTTAAAATCACAGGCAATTAAACAATGCAGATGGAAATGGGAAATGGATGTAGTTATATAGTAGCTGCAGACTTCTGGGTGTTCTCTAAAGTTAACTCTGCATTTTTCCAGTTACTGGAAGGAGATTGGAGTAAAGATGATTGAGAATCTGTAGTTACATGTCCCGTTTTTCGCCTGTAAATTCTGCTGATCAGCTGTAAAACTAAGTTTCTTTCTTCCACCTTTACTCTCCAAGCATTCTTGGTTGTGCTTTTGTGTGCAGAAATGCCCATGGAGAGAACTACACAGGGTTTGAGATGCAGAGCCAGAATAAGGGTCTCCTATATAACAAAATCTCAAAACACAGAGCTGTAGAGCCAAAAAGGATCGCAGAAATTGGTGCACCTATGAAACTTTTCCAAGGACTAGATTCTCAGTGGTTCTCAAAATAGCATCACCTGGGAAGTTGTTAGAAATACAGACTGTTGGGCCCCAGCCCAGACCTCTGGGTCAGAGACTCTGGGGATGGGGTCCTGCAATTTGTGCTTTATGAGCCTGCTAACATTTGAGAACCACTGAACCAGAGCAAAAATTTCCACAGGGGCCCTGGCCGGGTACCTCAGTTGGTTAGAGTGTTGTCCCAATACGCCAAGGTTGGGGGTTCCATCCCCAGTCAGCACACATACAAGAAGTAACCAATGAAAGTACTTTGTTGTGCCAATGAGTGGAACAACAAATTGATCTCTCTCTCTCTCTCTCTCTCTCTCTCTCTCTCTCTCTCTCTCTCCCTTCCCCCGCTCCCTCTCTCTCTCCTCTTTTTCCCTCTCCCTCTTTCCCCTCCCTTTCTCCCACTCTCCCTCACTGCCTGCCTCCCTCCCTCCCTTCCTTCATCTCTGTCTCTAAAATCAATAAATAAAATTTTTTAAATTTTTTTGACAGGATCCTGAGGCTATTCTCCTTTTTGGAAGTCCATCACAGCTCTTATTTCAAATTCAATTAAAAATATTTACTTTCATATTTTATACATGAAATTACTTCTAGCATTTATAGTATTTAAAAGCACAAGAATCCTAGCCTAAAAATCTGATTCTATTCTTCTACTCTCCTCCTTAGCAGTTAACATTGGCTAAAAATATCTTTTCTTATAGAGTTTGTCAGTCCGAAGTATTCTCTGCATTAAATTGTAAGGTATTAGATGACAGAAACTAATTTGGAAACAATATTCAACAACTATATTAACAAAATACTTATTCAGCAAAATGAATAGCCAAAGGAAATTTCTAGAATAATTTTAGTGATATGACATACCTATTTGTGCATTACTGGTGTGGATATGTTTTCTAATTTATTGACAAAATATAGTGAAAAGTTGCTATAGTCAGTAGGAGAAGAGAGAGCACTTTTCTGACTCCTGAATATTTTTAATTAATTCAATTTCTGAAACATTCCTTTCCCTACTAATATTTTTATTTGATTCTTGGTCTGGGGAAGTGAGGAACTTGTTCATGTCAGCATTTGCCAAATGGCATTCCTGTAATATGTCAATCTGTTTCTCAAAGCAAAGGTTTTGGGGTAAATACATCTGGGAAATGCTGTGTTAAAAAATTAACAGATTCACTTCATGACTTCTTTGAGTTTTTAGTAGGTAATATGAACTGTGACTCCCTAGGGGGTTATGTCTTACATAGCATTTGCCTTATTTCTGTAATAAAGTATTTTGGAAAAATAATAAAGAATTGTTTATGAGGGCCTTCTGCACTGACATGGAAATATTGCTACATAGAACCCTTCTTTGTAATGGCAATTTACTAGTTTGCAAAGAAATTTTTCCTGTCAATGTGTTTGATGATTACCTTAGTTTGTAAATATGCTATGAACTGATGTTTGATGCCCTAAAACTAAAATATAGCCCCTGGATATGTGAAATGTATGTCTGTTCAGGAAGTTTTTCTGTATTTTAGTTGTAATTCAAGTTTGGTCCTGGGAGCGTGTCCATGCAGCATCCACTTACTCCACCGCCATTTTTAATCTTCCTGAAATGTGTCTAGGTGCATCTCTGCTTTAAGTAATTCTTTTCATGTTTTATAAAAACGTTGCTTCTGGCCCAGCTGGTGTGGCTCACTGGTTGATCATCAACCTATGAACCAGGAGATCACGGTTCGATTCCCGGTCAAGGCAGATGCATGGTTGTGGGCTTGATCCCCAGTGTGGGGCGTGCAGGAGAATTCTCTCGCATCATTTGATATTTTTATCTCTCTCTCCCTCTTCCTTCCTCTCTGAAATCAATAAAAACATATTTTTTAAAAAAACATACAACGTTGCTTCTAGAATGTAATGTGTTCTAAACAATTTAATAAATATGTATAATATGAACATGATAAATGGTATTCAAATTAAAATCTTTGTTAAAAATTTTGTTTTTATTTTGATAGAGAAGGCCAATTGATATTTTGACCTTATTGGTGGTAAAGTTATTTCAATTATTAATGTTTTCTCAATGAATATTTATTGAATATGATGTTAAATATTTTTGCTCAATACTTAAGGCATTAAAAAGCATTAGTTTTCTGTTGCTGCAAAATTTATCACAAACAGAGGCTTCAAACATCACCCACATATCAGCTCACAGTTCTGCAGG